TGCCGCTCCGCAGAGGCACAGCCCGGAGAGCGCAGAGCAGAGGCGCGGCCAGGCCACTGCATGGACCTTCGGGCAGGGGTTCAGCGGTGAACTCTTCCGCGGGCCGCGGGGATGGAGCCTGCGGGTCGCCCCGGAGCCCGTTTTCTACTTTTCTTGCCCACTCGTCCTTCCTCCTCCTGCAGGCGGGCCCCCTCTCACCATCCTGGCCCGCCCTCGAATGCCAGCCCCTGCTCCCCGACGGTCCCCTCCTCCTCTCTGGCCCTCTCTGCCTCTTCAGGCTGGGCCACCAGGTGGGGCGCCCAGAGGGTTGCCCAGAGCTAAGCCTCCTGTGTGTGGCAGGTTGAGGTGGAAAGGAGGAAATGCAGGGACCTGCCCAGGGACGCTCAAGAGACTCTCGGGCGCTTCCCACCCCCATGAGGTGTGCCTGGAGTGGGGACAAGGAAGACAGCCCCTCAGAGACCAGGGGTAGCAGGGAAAGGAGTCCAGGGGCCGGCCACCATGCGGAGCTGGGTTCGGGCGTCTGTTTTGACGTGGGCACAAGTGAGTCTGGTGGCATTGTGCGGTCAGTTTTAGCCACCTTTGGGGTGGGTGCTGGAGCAGCAGAGGGTGTGGGAGGGCTGTTTTATGAATATAATAAAATGGAGCCACAATGTGGGGCAGGGTGACAGTACAGGGTGTGTCTGTGAGTGCCTAAGAGACAGGGCCCTCCCGCGGTGGCCTGGAAGGCCCAGAGCAGGAGGAGGAGGACAGATCAGCTCCCCCAAAGCCAGGGAAGCTGTTACTCCAGAGTTTTAAGGTTGCAGGGTTGGGGGGGGCAGGGGTGGCAATGTGGGCCTCCAGGCCTGTCTGCTGTGGTCCAAGGGCCTGAGCAGGGCAGGAGCGAATCTGGGGAGCTTGGCTCTGACTTCGGTTGCCAGAGGAGATGCCCTCCCAGGGCCCTCCCCCCACAGCTCCAGGCCTGTGCTGGGGGCGGGCGGAGGGGTGGGAATGCCCTTCCCACTCCTCGCACCGGGTCACACCGAGTAAGCAGGTCAAAGCACGTGAGCCTAGGGCAAGTGGAGGGATTCCTGGTGGTCCCGCATGTCAGGGTGCAAAGGGCATTGTCGGCCACAGGGTAGGGGCCTCCCGGGTCTGGAGAGGAGGCTTTCCTTGGTCTGAATGGAATGTGTTGGGTCTGATCCTCCCAGGCTGGATCTCCTGGGAGTCCTTGAGCTGTGAACAGGGATCTGGCAGGGCTGCCAGGTGGGGCTGGGGGTCAAGGGCGCCCCCGGGGCTGATGGAGAATGGTTCCTGGTGCGGCACTGGGCCCACCAAGCCCAGGCCAATGCCAGAGCTCCAGGTTTGGGGCCAGGACAGCAGATGACCGGTTCAAGGGCCGTGGGGTAGGATTTCTGTTCCCCCACCCCAGGCTGTGTTGGGGTTTGCCCCGGTGGGTGGATGGAGTAGGATGCAGGATGTGAGATGGGAACAGTGCGAGGAACAGCAGGTGGGCAGCAGGGCCTCTGCTGCCCAGGGGTGTGGCTGGGTCCAAGAGGCTCCTTCCAGGAAGGGGTCACCCCTTCCCTAGGGGTGGGGTACACCTTGGGCTTTGGAGGCCCTGATGGGAAGGGAGGCAGGAGCTTCCCAGGGAGGGGTGGGTGTGGCACACCCCCATTCCCACCTCCTCCCCTCCCAGCCCTCGGGCTGTACATACTCTGTCCCCTCATCTCGTAACTCACCCCACCCTCTCGTGGATTTAGTGACCACCTCATAGGCCCACCCCCCTGGAGATCCGAGCCGAACATCCCACATCACAGACTTTGGTTTGGGGGACTTCTTTGCGTTTGTTTTATTTTTCACTTTGTACAGAGAAATATTCTTTTCAAAGGCGTCTTTCGGCTGAAGTAACTTTTCTGGTGCTGTTGTTAACTTGTTCCTTTTTTTTAATTTATTTTCCCACCCCAGGCCACCCCTCCTGGTTCCTACTCACCCTTTCTCCCCCGACCTGCTCCTCCATCCCATCTGAACCATTTCGATTCTTTTCTTTCTGTCGGTTTTTGGATAAATTCTCCCCCCGCCCCTCTCCTCCGTCCTCCCCTTGATTTAGTCACTGCTACAAGTAACAAATGCACTGTGAAGACTCCAGTATTAATAAAGTTGTACTGTAATTAACACCCTGCCTCCGCCTGGCTCCCCGGCCCGCTGCTCCCCGGCGGCCCGCTGCTCTCCGGCGGCCCACTGCTCCCTGGCCCGAGCACAAGCCCCAGGGGTAAGAGTGGGTCTCTGCAATGCCTCCCCTCTGTCCCTGCTGGGGACGATCTGGGGGTTGCCAAAGAGAAGGAGAGTGGCCAGTCACCTCCAGGGGATCCCCCCAACACTCCCAGAGGACACCCCTACCCTAGGGTTGTGGAAGCTCCAGGGGCTGGGGCAGGGCTGGGGGGAACCTGATCCCTGAGTGCCCCTTATTCTATGCCCATAAGGCCCTGTCCACTCATCCTCAGCCGTCCAGTGCCACCCCTCCCACCCCTGCGCCCTCCGGCCTCAGCCTCGCAGATGCAACCAGACCAGACTAGACCAAACAAACCGGGCATTTAATACAAAAAAAAAAAAAAATTGGACTGGAAGAGCATCCACTGTGGCAAGATGTGGCATTTAGCTCTGCCCTCGGCCAGCGCTTCCCCTGGGCTGGGCTGTGGGGCCTTGATGCCTGCCGGGGTGAGGATTGGAGTCGCTACTGGTGTCGCCATCCCCACCCGCCCACTGGGCACCGCCGCAGCCCTCGCGGCAACAGCAGCTGCGGGAGACCACGTAAGAGCGAAGGCTGGACGCTGAGCACAGAATCGGAGGGATTACACCCACCCCGGGTTCTTTCCTGGGGAGGGCTCCCCACCACCCTGCGCAGTCTCAGGCCCGGTGGAATTTCCATACAGGGGCTCAGGGCCGGCCTTCGCCGGGGGGATGGGGGAGGGAGGTGGAGGGCTGCTGGGGTGCAGGGTTGGGCTGAGCGGCCGCACACTGCAACGAGGGCCACGGGCTGTGGTCCTGAGGGCTGGGCACCTCGCAGTCCTGCCAGTTTAGGTCCGAGTTGTGTTTACCTGCAAGGGACCGAAAAAGGACTGCAAGGCCAATCGAGATCACCTTGCCCAGGCCAAGCCACATGTCCTTGCTCCTGCCCAGGGCCCATCGTGACTTCCAGAGAGGGCCTGCGGCCCTGGACGGAAAGGGCCCACCCAGCAGGCACTGGCTCCCCCCGGCCGCCCGCCCCAGCACCTGCTTCCTTACAGCAAGGGCAGTACAACAGCTCCATGACCCGGAAGCAGTTGTCCAGCAGAGCTTTGGGCCGCACCAGCTTCAGGATCAGGCCTGGGGTGTTCAGGTGGGACAGCACGGCCTCCACCTTGGGGCTGACCTCCACATCCTGAAAGAGAAGAACCCCTCAGGACCAGTGAAGAGACGGGAGACTCCCGAGAGCTGTCGCCAGGAGCTGCCCAGAGTCACAGAAGAACAAGACTTCTGGTGACAGCAGCCTGTGCGTTATTGCCCACCCTGCTCTTCCTGCAGGTGCCAGGCAGCACCTCTCACCCAGGGGCTTCTGCTCCTCCATCCCTGGAGAAGACGAATGCAGAGCACGGGCCAGGGTGGAAGTGGGGGCATTCTGCTGGCCTAGCCCAAGCACGGCCACCCACCAACCACGTGAGGAGCCCCTGACCCAGGAAGTGTTCAGGAGGAGGTCAAGACCTCATCAGCATCAAGAAGAGAAGACCTCATAGGGGGACACGGAGGCACAGGTCCCGCGGGGAGGGCCGTGTGTCCGGCTCAAAGCTCGGGGGCTTCTCTTCATAAAACTCGACAAAGATGAGCACACGGGGACCACCATGGGTGCTGAGGGAGGGAAATCCCTGAGAGGGTGGGCCGGCGCTGTTGTAGAAGATGCCACGATGGGGCCAGCTGGTGGCACAATGGTTAAGGCGGCTGGATCCCAAATGGCCGACTGCATGGTTTGAGTCCTAGACCTGGAGGCTTGAAAAATGTCAGGCACATGTGTGTGCCCCAAATCCCAAGGAATGAATGGAGGAGAAGGGATTACAACATGACCATCCTGGGTGAGGGGGGGGGGGGGTGTCTCACTTTCTGTGTCTCTCTGTCTCTCCAGTGAGCACACCTGCCCTAGCAAAATCTCAAAAACAAAAACAAAAAAAAAAAAGAAAGAAAGAAAGAAAGAAAGGAAAACTCGCTCCATGAAAGGAGCCGGACAGGACAGCTACTGTGCCACGTATGCGGTCCCTAGAAGACACAAATGGATAGTAGCAAAGAGCAGACTGTGGGTGACCAGGGGTGCAGAGAAGTGGGGATGAGGAGTGATGCTGGATGTGCACGATTTTCGTTTGGGATGATGTGAGTTCTGGAAATACGTGATGGTCGCTCGACACTGTGAACGCAATTGCTGCAGAATTGGCATAAAATGGCAAATTTCATGTCATCGGTATAAAGCGTGCTCCCTCCCTGCACAGCCCCTATGGCCTCCATCTAGGATCTTATGTTTATTATTTTAAAGAAAACTTAATGAAAGCAAGGGAGGGGGGCCAGAGGTGGCATAGTGGTTGAGGCGTTGGACTCCCATGTGGCCAACTGTGGTTCGAGTCCTGGCCCCAGTGGCTTGAAACATGCTGGGCCTGTGTGTGTGCACGTGCATGGCCAAGATCTCAAGAGGAGAATGGAGAAGGGATTGCAGCATGGCCATCTCCCCTGGGGGTGATTTCTCACTTTCTCTCTCTGTCTCTCTCTCAGTCTCTGGAGAGTGCATGTGCCCTCCTGCAAAAATCTTAAACAAAAAGGGCGGGGAGAGAAAAAAAAAGAAAGAGGGGAAGGACATGTGGTAAAAAACTGCAGAACCAGGAATCGGGCGGTGTGGCCTTGTACGAGTGGATGAGGCGGGAGAATGGAGATGCCAGATAGGAGTTTTACAGCGGATATGCTTCAGGCTTTGTTCCAGCCCCTTCCCTTTACAAGTGGTGGATCTGAGGCCCAGAGGCAAAACCACTTGTCCGAGGTCACACCGTTGGACACAGCTGCAGCTGGAACCCTGGTGACCGCTCCCAGGCCAGGTCTCCCTCCACATTACACTGCCACTGGGAGATTCCGGAGGAAGTCTGAAGGGTGGATTTCCTGTATGTTAATTCATCTTAAAAGCCAGGCCCTAGACACTAACGTTGTTAAAGGAGAGATTTTTAAAGAGCTGGTTAGCTCTGAATAAAGCATATCCAGATGTGCAGTCCTTCCAACAGAGAGGCCCAGGGAGCTCGGGCTCGGGCCCCAGGTCCTCCCCAGCCCCCAGCCCAGCTCTCAGGGGCCTCCCAGAGCGAGGAACGCTCTCGAAGCACAGGGACAGCTCCATCATCCCTGACAGCCATGGACACAGAAGAGCCTCCCAGGACATGGCTGGGTCCCCTGACCTCCGCAGGACTTGAGAGAGCCTCCCCACCACCCCCACCATCCTGTCCCCGGAAAGTTCTCGACAGCTGCACAAACAGTTGCTGGGCCCTCGGCCCTTTTCTCACGGGAAGCTCACAGTCGGTGCTGGATGCTCTGGCCGCGGACTGGGCCTCGTCAGCAGATGAAGCCAGGCAGCTGGCTGGGCCGGGCAGCAGGTGGGTCCCTGGGACAGGTGTGCGCCAGGGTCCTGAGGGCCGATGGGGGTGGGGTGGACATGAGGTGGGCGGGGTCCATGGCCTATGCGCGGCTTTCACAGGCACACAATAACGTCTTGCCTTACTCTTTTTTTTTTTTTTTTTAATTTACTTTTAGGGACCAGCAGTTAGCATAATGGCTATGTCACTGGACTCCCATGTAGTCAACCGTGGTTCGAGTCCCAGACCCGGTGGCTTAAACTCATGCTGGGCACGTGTGCGTGCATGCCCAAGATCCCAAGAGGAGAATAGAGGAGAAGGGATTGCGGCATGGCCATTCCCCCTGGGGGTGATTTCTCGCTTTCTGTGTCTCTGTCTCTCTCTGTCTTTCTGGCGAGCACACGCGCCCTATAGCAAAAACCTCTGCACAAAAAAAAAATGTTATTTTTAAAGGTTTTTGCCATAGAGCGTGAGCACCCGATGGAGAGGGGGAGGGGGGGGAAGATGAGAAATCATCCCCAGGAAGATGGCCATACCATAATTCCTCCTCCTCTTGGGATTTTGGGCACACATGCACTGTGGACTGGGTCTGGGACTTAAACCACAGCCGGCCATGTGGGAGTGTAGCGCCTTAACCACACCTCCTGCTGGCACTTGCACAACTGTAATGGGGAGGAGGGGTGTCTTTATTTACTCTTAAATGTTTACTTATTCCTTCCATGAACAAGACAGGGAGAGAGAGAGCAAGCACATACTCCCAATGGGGTCTTGATGCCATGATCCCCCCCCAGCCTTCAGCCACGCCCGGGGGCAAGTGGTACCGGCATTCTCTGGGAGGTTTCCAGACTTGAACCAGGAACCTTCCCATGTGGGATCTCCTGCATCACTGTCTGGCCTCGTCTTAAATTAAGTAATTCCTAATTAAATTCCGTGGTTTATATCAGGGTTCACGCTCTGGGTCGTAGTTCTGTGGGTTTTGACAAATGCACAACATCATGTATGAACGACGGACACCTGATACCGAATAGTTTCATCACCCGATAGACGTGGCTGGGACCGCATGAGAGGCCAAGGTTCCGTTCCAGGCCCAACCGAACAGGCCAGCCCAGGGATTCACACCTGTGGTCCTAGCTGCCTGGGAGGCGGATGTAGGAACAGAGTCGGGGTTCCACAACCTGCCCCGCCCAGGATTCAGGGCAGAGACAGAGCCCGGAACAGGGTCTCGGGGGCATCTCCGGCCCCCCGTCGGGCCCACCCGAGTCATCATGCTGCTCCCCCTTCCCCAGCTTCCTTTTCCTGAACCCCTCCCCAAGTTCCAAAACTTGCAAGACAGGCCCAAACTGTCCACGTGTTCACAGCCCGCAGCCGCACCTGCCGCCTGGCGCACGCGCATGCGCACGCACTGCCGCCCGCCCGCCCGCCGCACGCGCAGCTCACCGTGAGGCCCTCCTGGACGTTCTGCAGCAGCGTCTGGACGTCCTGCAGGTACTGCCAGGATGGGTGGCCCTCGAGCAGCACGTCCTGCACCGACTCGGCAGCACTGAGACTCACCAAGACCCACAGGTACCGCAGCTCCCGCTCACTCATCCGGGCCCTCCGCTGCCGGGACAGGAGAAGTCACTGCAGCCCGACTTCGGCCCCTCCCGACCCCCTCCCACCGGGGCAGACCGCGGGGTGTCCAGTGAGGACAGCGGGCAACCCTGCACCTTGGCCGAGGACCGGCTTGCTTAAGAGGCTGAGGGAAGGCCCCGGCCAGGGCTGCCCCGGCCACACCCAGGGAGTCTCACCAGCCTGGTGATGTTGGCCGCGCGCAGCACCCCCTCGTAAGGCACGCCGATCCTGTAGTTGATGGGGAAGTAGTGTTTCTGGGGAGGCAGGGAGCAGAGAATGAGGGCGAGGCACCAGAGGCTCGGACAGGTCCCCCAGCGTCCCAGCACTTGTGATGTCGGAGAGCACCCCAGGCCCAGCCCTTCCGCAGCTCAGGGGTTCCCTGCAAAGACAGGCCTGGCTCCCAACTGCCATCAGGACAACTCGCTGGTTCCTGTGAGGGGACGTTTCAGGCCTGGCTGAGGATTTACTGTAAGAAAGCCACACTAGGGACCAGCAGTTAGCATAATGGCTGTGTGTTGCTGGACTCCAGTGTAGTCGGCTGCGGTTCATGTCCCGGACCCAGTGACTTGGACTCACGCCGGGCACGTGTGCGTGCATGCCCAAGATCCTGAGAGGAGAATGGAGGAGAAGGGATTGTGGCCCCGCCCCGGAGCGTGATTTCTCGTTTTCTGTTTCTCTCTGTCTTTCTGGTGGTGAGCGCACGCACCGTATAGCAAAAACCTCTTAAAAAAAAAAAAAAAAAGCCACATTATATTTTGGGGGTGAGGAAGATGTTCCAAAAGCCTCTTGTGACATTAGCACAGCGCTGTGCCCATACTAAACATAAACATCACTGAGTCGTACACGCTCGGGGGGAGCCGGCGGTGTGTGAAGTAGGCCTCAATGAAGCTGTTAAAGAAAGGCACATGGAGGGACCAGCAGTTAGCGTAATGGCTATGTCGCTGGACTCCCACGTAGTCGACCGCAGTTTGCGTCCCGGACCCGGTGGCTTAAAACTCATGCCGAGCGCGTGTGCGTGCGTGCCCAAGATCCCAAGAGGAGAATGGAGGAGAAGGGATTGCGGCGTGACCATCCCCCCTGGGGGGTGATTTCTCGCTTTCTGTCTCTGTCTGGCAAGCGCATGCGCCCTGTAGGATAAAAAAAGAAAGAAAGAAAGGCATATGGAGGGCTGGTCCCACTGCAGTGGTTAAACCACATCAGAAACCAGATCCCACATGGCCAACCGTGGTTTGAATCTTGGCCCCAAGGGCTTGAAAACTATGCCACACGCTAGTGCAAAAATCCCAAAAGGAAGAAAGATGGAGAAGGGAGAGTGCTTTCTCACTTTCCCGCTCTGTCGCTCTCCAGTGAGTGCATGTGCATGCTGCAAAAAATAAAATAAAATAAGGCATAGCATCATGGGGCATCTCCAGCCTACAAAAAGAACTGAACATTCCAGTCCTGGGTCCTTGTCTCCCCTGCTGCTGAGTTCCTGGGGTCCCCACAAGGGTTTCTGAGTCATAAGGTGACCACCATATTGGAGGTGAGATCTAGTATCCAGTCAAGGGGAGTGGCCGAGGCCCTGGGGCATGGTGGGAAAAGGGACGGTCAGTGCAGACCGGACTCCTCAGTCCTCAGTGTGTGGGAGAAGGCAGGAAAGGGCACCATGGTAAGCTCAGGCTGCCACAGATCCAAGGAGGGCCCTGAGTGTCCCAAGCCCAGCCAGGGGAGCCCGTGTGGTTACCATGTACTGTAGCCGGTTCCTGTACTGCAGCTTCTCCCGCAGAAAGCCTGTGACAGCACACTCCTTGCTCTGGGTCACCGGCCACACCTCTGAGCTCTTGTTCCCCAAGGCCATGCCCAGGAGGATCCCGAGATCTGGGGACCACACCCAACAAGAGCCCGTGAGCACTTTGCGTCACATCCACACCGCCCAGGAGTACGTGGCGGCACACAGCTGTCATCCCCTCCCACAGGTTGCAGGACTTAGCCGAAGTACCATTGTGGGGACACAGAGCATCGTGGGGGTGTACCCACAAGGACAGGCAGGCAGAGCAGTCCAGCTGGCCCGCATCCAGCCCGCTCCTGGCGGCAGACCCCCCAGGAAGCATACCCTAGGGTCGATCTCCATTCTCCTCCCTCCTCTTGCCCCTTGGAGTATGCACAACCTCCCTTCCAGGACAACCTCAGTCCCTTGACTGGGAGTGACATGTTTTCAAAGCCTATTGCTGGGATTTTCACCCCAGGTATCAGATGTGGATTCTGGTTCCAGCTCTACGAATGATTCGTAAGTGAGCCAGGCTACTTTCCCCCTTGCTCTGTCTGCCCTTGGCATGCCTCCGGGGAAACACAGCAGCGGGTCTGTGGCACCTTCCAATTTAGTTGCTTTGGGATCACACGAGCCAGTGTGTACCTTGGCTGAGCCAGCGCCTTCAAGCATTACCAGCCTCTACCACTGGGGGTCACTGTGATTTCAAAAACGGCTTATGATTTTCACATAGCTGAACAGACGAAAAATAATCAGAATTTGCAACAAATATGAACAAGGGTTATTTTAATCTGAGCAGAAGAACAAAATCAGAGACCGTTCCCAAATATCAGTCTCACTAGTAAGGTAAAAAAATTCACTAGGGCCAGCAGGTGGTGGTGGTTAAGGTGCTGAACTCCCACATGGCTAACCACAGTTCAAGTCCCAGAGTTGGTAGCTTGCTTTCTCACTCTTCCTTTCTCTCTCTCTGGTCAAATTTAAAAATAATAGTAATTAATAAATAAATTAAATTAAATATATTATTCTTTTTCTAAAAGATAAAGAAATTCACAGTAAAACAATCAGATGCTGCTTTCCTCTCTTAAAATAGAGAGGTTTTTTTGTGTATTTTTAAATAATTATTTAATTTATTTAAGTTTTTAATTTATTCCATCTATTTTAATTTGAGAGAAACACACAGAAAGCAAGAGAGAGAGAGAGAGAAAGCAAGCCACCACATCTAGGACTTGAACCATGGTCGGCCATGTGGATGTGTCCAGCACCTTAACCCCCGCGCCACCTGCTGGTCCCTGGTCGGCCGTGTGGGAGTGTCCAGCACCTTAACCCCTGTGGCACCTGCTGGCCCCCAGGTATTTATTTTAATAAAATAGGTGGCATGGCGGTGAGGCGGCTGGAACCCACATGGCTGGCTGCACTATTTGAGTCCTGGGCCTAGTGGCTTGAAAAGAAACATGCCAGGTGCATATGCCTGCAGATTCAAAATTCCAAGAGAAGAATGGAGGAGACGAGCCAGTGGCGTGGCCATCCCGCCCAGGCGGTGATTCCTCCCTTCCCCTCTCTCTTGCTGTCTCTATCCAGGATACACACATGCTCTATAGCAAACAAACATTAACGCTTTATTAAACAGTAATACTTGATGCTGCCAAAGAAGCGAGGCAGGTGCTCTCACCCCAGAAAGCAATTTGGCAGTCTTTGTTATAAATGGACTTTTTATTATGTCCACATCCATAGACCCACTCAGCCTTAAAAATGTCTGCACCCAGAGGCCAGCAGGTGGCATGGAGGTTAAGGTGCACCATGGTTTGAGTCCCAGACTCGGCAGCTTAAAATTCATGATGGGTGTGTGTGCATGTGCCCAAAATCCCAAGAGGAGAATAGAAGAGAAAGAGAAGGGATTGTAGCCTGGCCATCTCTCCTGGGTAGAGATTTATCACTTTCCCTCTCTCCATCTC